GGGGGGGGAGGTAGAGGGAGGACTTTCTCTTGCAAAGAAAGCTGCAAGCCTACCGACAAAGGCAGCCTCCTCGCTTCCTCAGTGCTTAGGGCCTTCTCAGAGGAGACTTCAAAGACTTCCTGGGACTGGATGAGGATGATGAGGATGATGATGATGATGATGATGATTTATTAGGGGGGATCGCTCTCTCTCTCTCTCTCCGTCCCTTGGAGCACTCTCCGAAGCATGCTTGTTCAGTAGGCAGAGCCCAGCGGGGCCCCAGTTTAAGCTGGTTGCCTTCAACCGAGCAGGCAAGGGCCCTTCCTTTTCCACCCCCGCAGTGTGCAAAACTTAACAAAACCGCTGCTTTGCAGAGATGCTGGTTGATCTGAGGCAGCAGCTTTCGGAGCGAAAAAAAAAAAAATCTTTCTAGAACTTTTTATTTAGTCGCCTTCTCTCTCGCTCCCCACAAAACTGCATCTTTATCTGGCCCCTGAAAAGAGAGGGGAGGAAAGAGATGAGGATGAGTTTTTCGTTTTGAGAACTAGACTGAGTCATACCCTGGTAGACATCCCTGCTTATCTCGGTTATCTCGTTTACACACGGAGTGCAAAGGATCCTACGGGAGGCCCCTGAAGTTAAGGAGGAAAGTTGCTTTTCAAAGCTTGAGAAAGTTACTTCTTGGACTACAGCTTCTAGAATCCAGTTGGACAGGGATTCTGGGAGTTGTAATCACAAGACTGAGGCTCTTTCGGAAGTGACAACATCAATGCCTGTAACCTCAAGCAAGGGCAGGCTGGAGACAAAGCCATCTTTCACATCTTTCCAGTAAGATGTTTTGGGTAATAAATTTTAGAATCCCTTACCATTGGTCTTATTAAATCTATGGGATTTTTTTTATTATTATTATTAACTGCCCTCAAGTCAGTCTCAACTCATGGTAACCCTATGGATGAGACATCTCCAAGACCCTCTCCACTGCTCTGCTTAATTCCTACAACCCCTTAATACCTGTGACCTCCTTAATAGAGTCCATCCATCTAGCATGTGGCCTTCCTCTCTTCCTTCTTCGCTCCACCTTCCCCAGCATTATTGTTTTTTTTCCCTCTCTTCTCATGATGTGTCCAAAGTATGACAGTCTCAGTTTGGTCATCTTGGCTTCCAGGGAGGTTTCCGGTTTGATCTGCTCTAGGACCCACTTGTTTGTCTTTTTGGCTGTCCAAAGGATCTTCAGCACTCTTCTCTAACACCACATATCAAATGAATTGATTTTCTTTCTATCATCTTCCTTGACTGTCCAGATCTCACATCCTTTCATGGTAATAGGAAATAGTGGCTTGTATGATTCTAACTTTTGTGCTGAGTTGCATATCTTTGCATTTTAGAATATTTTCTAGTTCTTTCATAGCCACCCTTTTCATTCTTAGTCTTCTTCTGATTTCATGACTGCAGTCCCCATTTCTATTAGTGTTTGATCCCAGGTATGGAAATTCTTTTACTATTTCTTCATTGTCTAGGTTGAACTTGTGAAGATATTTTTATTTTCTTTATGTTCAACATTAAACCTGCCTTTGCACTTTCTTCTTTGATCTCCCTTAGTAGGTGTTCCAGGTATGTGAAGTTTTCTGCTAGTACTATGGTATCATCTGCATATCTTAGATTGTTGATATTCCTTCCTCCTATTTTCACTCCTCCTCCTTCTGTGTTCAAACCTGCTTTTATTATAATATGTTCTGCATACAAGTTGAACAGATAGGGTGAAAGGATGCAGCCTTATCTGATCCCTTTGCCAATTGGGAACCACTCTGTTTCTCCATGTTCTATTCTGACAGTAGCCTCTTGTCCTGAGTACAGATTCCTCATCAGGACTATCAGATGTGTTGGCACTCCCATGTCTTTAAGGGCATTCCATAACCTTTCATGATCTATGCAGTTAAAGGTTTTCCTATTGTTTATAAAGCATATGCTGATTTTTAAAAAATTCCCTGGTGTGCTCCATTAGCCATCCTATGTTCGCAATGTAGTCCCTAGTGCCTCTTCCTTTCCTGAACCCTGCTTGAACCTCTGG